CGACTCTAACGCGTCCTTCCACAGCTCCAACTTCCTATTTACCCCTGCTCTACTCTCGTCAACTAGCACCACATCATCAGCAAAGAGCATACACCAAGGGATATCACCTTGTATGTCCCTTGTGACCTCATCCATCACCAAGGCAAATAGATAAGGGCTCAATGCTGACCCCTGGTGTAGTTCTATTTTAATTGGGAAGCCACTAGTGTCGCCCCCACATGTTCGGACACACGTCATCGCATCCTTGTACATATCCTTGATGAGGGTAATGTACTTAGATGGGACTTTGTGCTTTTCTAAGGCCCACCACATGACATTTCTCGGTACTCTGTCATAAGCCTTCTCTAGGTCGATAAAGACCATGTGCAAGTCCTTCTTTTGGTCCCTATATCTCTCCGTCAACTGACGTATGAGGAAAATTGCCTCCATGGTCGACCTTCCAGGCATGAACCCAAATTGGTTTTGGGTCACACTCATCACTCGTCGTAGGCGATGCTCGATAACTCTCTCCCAGAGCTTCATCGTATGGCTCATCAACTTAATCCCACGGTAGTTACCACAGCTTTGAACATCTCCCTTGTTCTTGAAGATCGGTACTAAAGTACTTCTCCTCCATTCATCAAGCATCTTGTTTGACCGGAAAATGAGGTTAAAAAGTTTAGTTAGCCATGCTAACGCTCTGGCGCCAAAGCATCTCCACACCTCAATGGGGATACCATCAGGGCCCATTGCTTTACCTCCCTTCATCCTCTTCATAGCCTCTCCGATCTCTGCCTCCCGAATTCTTCTCACCTTGCATCTATTGGTATCCTCAAATGAGTCATCCAACGCCAGGGTAGGACCCTCACTCTCTCCATTAAATAATTTGTCGAAGTACTCTTGCCATCTGTCCTTGATCTCCCCATCCTTCACCAGTGGTCGATCCGACCCATCCTTAATGCATTTGATTTGGTTGATGTCCCTTGTCTTCCTCTCCCGAATCTTAGCCATCCTATAAATGTCCTTCTCCCCCTCCTCGTGCCTAGGCGCCGATAAAGGTCAACATAGGCCTGACCCTTCGCTACACTCACGGCACGCTTTGCATCCCTTCTCGCTATTTTATAGCTCTCGATGTTGGTTGCACTCTTGTCAAGGTGGAGGCGCTTGAAGCACTCTTTCTTCTCTTGAATAGCCCTTTGCACCTCGTCATTCCACCACCAAGAGTCCTTCGCTTCCTGCTTGCCTCCCCTATTCACACCAAGGACTTCTGCAGCCACCTTCCGTACACATGTTGCCATCTTTAGCCACATGTCCTCTGCATCTTCTCATTCTTCCCAAGGCCCCTCACCTAGCATCCTATCCTTAAACGTCTGCGCCGCTTCCCCTTTAAGTTTCCACCACTTCGTTCTCACGGTCTTGGCACATTTGTTCCGGTGGCCACGTGTTCGGAATCGAAAATCCGCCACCACCAGTGCTGGGGGACAACACACTCCCCAGGTATCACCTTACAATCTACGCAAGCGCTCCTATCCTCCCTCCTTGCAAGGGTGTTTGCTATCAACAAGTCGTAGGCCATCGCAAAGTCCAACACACCCTCCCCCTCTTCGTCCCTACTACCATACCCAAACCCTCCGTGCACTCTCTCGAAACCTACCTTAGTCGCACCCACATGGCCGTTTAGGTCCCCTCCTACAAAGAGCTTCTCGCTGGCAGGCACCGTACTAACCAAGGCATCCAGGTCCTCCCAGAATTGCCTCTTTGCGCTCTCACTAAGACCTACCTGAGGGGCATAGGCACTGATACATTCATGGTCAAATCTCCAACTACCAATCGGACTAGGATAATCCGGTCGCCTTGCCTTCTAACATCGACAACTCCATCCTTAAGGCTCCTATCGATCAAGATGCCTACACCATTCCTACTCGATGAAGCCCCAGTGAACCATAGCTTGAAGCCAGTATCCTCCACCTCCTTCGCCTTCTGTCCCTTCCATTTTGTCCCCTGGACGCATAGGATATTAACACGCCTCCTAGTAGCTGCATCGACTAGTTCACATAGTTTACCTGTTAGGGACCCTACGTTCCAGCTACCTATACGGACCCTAGTTGGTTCGACTAGCTTCCTTGCCCTTCGCACCCGTCGAGAGAGAAGCGAAGACCCTTGCTCATTTTCCACTACACCCGGGCGCCGATGTAGCGCGCCACTAAGGAAATGACGACCCGGTCCTTGCTCACTTAACACCATGCCCAAACCACGACATGGCGCGTCCCCAAGGGGGAGACGACCCGGCCCTTGCCCATTTGACACCATACCCGGGTTCCGATATGGCGCGTCGCTAAGAGGGTTACGCCCCGACGAATTTCTCATGTGTTTCATCTCCATAGAACGGCTAGGTTTTACGTTGGCTCGCCAAGCCTATCACAACCCTCCTCCTTTACCAGCGCTTGGGACCTGCTATGTTGAGACAACATAGGCGGAGTTAAATATAGTGTTAATATTGAAATTAATTTTAATAAATTAAATATTGAGAAATATGGCCATGGTTTACCCTTTTTTTGTGATAAGTCACACATTTGACTAAGTTTTATATGGAAAAATAAAAATAATGTTGAGAAAACTTTATTTGAGAGTGCTGATAAATTTCAATTTTGAGCCCAAAAGTCAACTGACAGAATTGCTAAACGATTAGTAATTATTTTTTTAAAATTTTTTACAGTAATTAATCATAAATATTGATAGTGATTTTAAATAGTATTTAGATTAAATTTTAATTATATATTATATTTTTTAATTTAAATAAATCAACCTTATATATTATTGAAAAAAAAGATAATTGAAAACATATTATTTTAATTAAATAAAGCAAAACAAAAGACATGATCCAATTTATCAAATAAAAAAAATGTGAGTATGTATATAACAGTAATAATCCTATAATAGTTAGTAATTTTTTATTTATCTATTTGATTTTGTTAAGTCTTAACTAAAAAACCTATACATTTATACAAATAACATCTTCAAAAAAATTATGTCAATTTTAGGCATTAAAGATCAAAATTATGACATTAAATTAAGTGAGAGTTGATATTTTCTCCCACTTATTTATAGCCTAATAAAGTTTTAAATACCTCGCAAAAGTTTTTTCCACTTTATTTATCAATGAATTAATCAGTAAAATTGTTTCCTACATTTTTTTAAGTAATTACCCAGATATATAATAATTATATGCAAAAAAATTAATTAACTGTAATTTGAAACAGAAAAATATAAACTTAAAACTGTAATTTGCAACAAAAAAATCAAAACTTATTAAGGAATTATATATTAGTTATATTTATCTTTTATAATTTATTAAAAACAAAATAAAGATGTAAATTCGTAACTATTTTATATATAAATTGTGTAAAGTCGCATAAATTGTCTTTGGTAATGTATTCTAATACAACTTAGTTAATATAATTAAAAGTATTTAAGATATTGTATGTTATTCTTAATTGATATTATATCAAACTTTGTCATATTAATACAAATAAAAACAATATAAATATGTATCAATATATAAACAACATATAAAAAAAATTAATTTGTATAATAAGTGCAATAAATATTTATTATTATGCTGCAAATCATATAATAAGTGCATTATATATATTTAATTGGTTTATACTTTAGTTGTACCGGAGTTTACAATATTTATATAGTTGAACCCTCTAAATGGCCATGTATCTAAATAATAGTTACCTGACCATGTTTAAAAATACAATTTTATTTAGTTGTACCCTCTATATGATCATGTATTTAAATAGTATTTAAATAGTGGTTAGCTGACCAAGTTTAGAAATACAATTTTTTGTACCATATATATATTCTTGCATTTTTTTTTTTTCTTATATCAACTTATATCAAATTTTCACGGTGAAAAACTAGCATTTATCATTACTTAACTTTTAATTACTTTTATCTATTATTATTTTATTTTTATTTTTCTAATGAGAAAGGAGAAACACGACCTTTTTAAATA